TAAATTTTTCATTTTTATGTATAAAGCAAATATTATTTTATAAGTTTAATTACTTGTAATATTTTCTCTTCTAATTTTAAAATTAAATATGAAATTTTTTATTTTGTTAAAGCAAATTTTAATTTTTTTATAATATTTTTTATAAAAAAAATTAGAATTTTAAAAAATATAAATAATTTTGTCAACAAAATTTAAGTATTCATAATTATTTTAAAAATATATTATTTGAAAAAAATAGTAATAATATTAAAATTTTTGTCTACATTTATATCTCTATTACCGTATTAAAATTATTATTTATAATTACAGAATCAAATTAAATTATTAACAACAAAAACATACAATATATATATATATATATTATGTATTGTTTAAAAAGTATAGATATAAAAAAAAAGTTATTTATGAGTTTGGCAAAAATTTTGGCTATCAAAGTTATTGACTCTACTACGTAATCTACACCATATCTTTACTCAACTTTAATTTACGAACATTTAATACTTTTGTATTTTAATTATATTAAATATATAAAAGCATGTTAATATTTTTTAATAAATTTGTTTGTTTTAAATACAGCTTTAATTATTTTCAAATTTTATTCTTATATTTTATTGATCTAAGATTATTATCATTATGTTACTGTATATGTGTATTAGGTGAGACTGGGTACGTGGACCGGTAGGTGGTGGTTGTATTATTACTACTAATTTTCTTTCGTACACTGATTACTTACACCAGAACGATAGTTTTAAAGCGCTTATTAATTATCACCTTTATTAGTATTTTTGTGGTTCAATTATGAGCTGCAACTTATGTATGCGTGGTGCGACACAATTGATAAAATTGTTCTGTCAATCATGTCAGTGATTGTAGATAGATATTGAAAACGACAAATAATATGATAAAGGAAATAGAAAAAATGTTCTAAAAGATATTATAAATATTATTGTACGAAAGAGAGAAGAAAAAGCTACGAGCGATGGAAAGTGTGGAGAGGTAAAGAGAGCGAATGAACGACAAAAACTCATTTTTTAAGGAATAAGGCTGAACTATCATGTGGTTGGTGCGACCTAACCTTGGGAGTGCACAGCTAACTATTCGGCACCTACTCATAAATTATTAATTTGTTAAAAATAGTTCTAAATTTTACAAACAAAATATCTTTTTAAGAATGTTAATTAAGAAATTAATAAATATTATTTTAACAAAACTTATACTGACGCATACAAAAAATTATAATAAAACCACAGTATTATCATAATTATTGTTGACAAAAATACTTACTTTTAATTCTTAACGAAATTTCTTTCCTAAATTTTATTAATAAGATATTTTTTATTGAAAAATAAATTTAAATAAATAAAACTTAAGCATTATAAATTTAACATTAAGTTACCAATATCTTATTTAAAAGTGTATCATTAAAAGAGTTATACATTTTTGTTTAATTATACTTTCAATTATTATTGTGTTATATATTCGTCACTTAATTTTAATTTTCAAGAATCATATTTTGAATGAAAAACTTTTTTTTTTTCGTAAATCTATCATGGCTAGATGAGAAATTGTATAAGAGTGTGGGTACAGATTTACACACTCTTTTTTAGAAAGATAAGTAGGTAGGTAGAGTGCGATTGTGTAAGGCATTTTCGCAATTGTTTGCGTTAACGAGAAATGTTGAATCTTGTGTATTGAAGAATGTTTTTCATGATGTCACTAGGTGAGTTTATAATGTTAGTTGACAAAGAAGACTATTTCAATATGAGATCTCAAGCTTTAATTTTATGTTAAAGCTTGTGGATGAAGTTTCTATTAAAGTACTACAAGAAAATAAATGGGTATCGAGGGCAGAATCTTCATGTTGTTATTCAGTGCATTATGCGTATTTATGACTATTTGAACTTTTTGGTGGTCCAAATATGGTAAATCAGTGTACGGCAGACGCCTTGCAAAGGCTATGGAGAGGGAAGGTCTCTCTGAAGTGTCTAATATTTTCTTGGCAATTATTGTTGAATGCACTTCCTTGTAAAGGTTTGCTAATTGATCGTGGTGTTCAAATTGATGATATAACTTGTTACTTCTATCATGGTTTTGAAGAACATCAAATTTATTTATTTTTAACGTGCTTAGTTTCATCCTAAATATAGTATTTTATTGCACGTTGGCTTGGATTCTCACTGGTTTTGCCTTCAAATTTATCGATTCACTTGCTTTTCTGGGTTGGTGTTGGTTGTAGTAAAAGAGAAGGAATATGTTTATTAATTGTTTGGGTAAGTACAGTGTAGTCTATGTGGTTACATAGAAATTAAATTATGTTTTTTTAATGGTGTTTTGGATGAGAGAGAAATACTATATTCTATTATTCTGAAGTCCTACAAATAGCTATCACTTATTAGTAAGGGATAAACTATTTTGTTAGCTGATTGGTATTTGAATATACGAAATTACATTCGTCTTAGTTAGGTATAAGTATGTTTTTACTTTTTATTTTATTTTTTTAATTTCTTTTGAGTAAGTATTAATTTTTTCTATGTGTATATGTATTTTGAGTTTCTCTTGAACTCTTTATAATAATATATTTTACTTATAAAAAAAAATTCTCACTATATTAGGACAAAACATTTCCCTTCCCTTAATTCATTTCAAAAAAAATGAGAAAAAAAAAAATTCATTTAAGAAAGAGTATAAAAATAAATTTTTATTTTAAGAAATTAATATTATATCATTATTTTTATATTTTTATCTAATTTCTTTAATTTAATCCAAACAAAAACGCATTACGAAAATAAGAAAAGCTAATATCGAGCTATAAGATTTTTAGACTTGAGGATTGATGTTAAATTATATAGTAAAAGAAAGCTAACAACCTCAATGAATACTTATGAAAAAACTTATCTTTGTCTGATCTGGAAGAGACAAGTAGAGATTTGACCTTTTGACTTATGTAAATACTGTCTTGCTTTCTAATTTGATTGACTGATCATATTTTTTCAAAAATAAGTAATATTAATTTTTTATATATAATTTAAATTTTATTTAATATTTCATTTTACAACTTCACTTTAATGTGTATTTTTTTTAAAAATAAGAATAAATATCAATATTAATTCATCTGATTAAACACTGGTACTCAATTTATATATATATATATATATAAATGTTTGATACTCAATTTTTTGAAGTTATATTCTACAAAAGTTATAAACAATCTGATCGCGATATTTATCCCCAAACTCTCACCTGTTTTAGGATCGGTTGAATCAACTAACAAATAACACGTGACCACAAGAATAGAAGGTAGACGCAACAAGAAGAGTGACCACATTTTATATTTATTAATCTATTTAAATACATTTGCTTAAATTTAGCTGATCATGATTCTATGTTTATTTTTAAAATTTTAATTTTGAAATATCATATCAAATTAATAACTATGGAGATTATATATTTTAATAAAAATCTTTTTTTATATAATTTTTCATTAATTTCATATTTATTTTATCTTTAATTTATTTCTATATGACAGAAAACGATCTTTATTGATAACAGTGAATACAATTTTTAATTTATTTTATTATTTTTTAAGATATGTGATTTTATCGTTTTTTTTTTTTACAATGATGTGTTTTTTTATATTTTATTTTAAAATTAGAAACAAATCCTTTCATTTTTTTTATTTTAATATGATATGTTAAGTTAATAAATATCAACTATTTAATTTAGTTAAAAATTGATCGATCATTAAGAATGATAACAGATAACTTTTTACCTTATCTTTTTAGTATTTTTTTTAATTTCTCACCCGTTTTTTCTTTTTTTTTTTTACGCTTCAAGTTAAACTTCCGTCTCTTTGAAATATCTCTTACAATTTACTTCAACATAAAAAATAACTGTAATATGATTGAACTGCTTGTCATTAGTTGCCTTTTTTTTTTTTGTTTACAAAGGTTGTTATACAATTTTTTTTATCACTTTTTAAGTCCAAAGCAAGAGTTAAAATAATATTTCAAAATTTAAGTTTTAATTTACTACGCCGTTTTCTAATAACATAATAACATTTCAAGTAAAATTTTAAATGTTAAAATTTTTTTAAAAAAATTCATTTAGTTGAAAATGATAAAATATTTAAATTAAAAGAAATATTTTTGACAACTGAGAAAATTTAGAAAAGAAACATTTTTTATTGTGCACGTGTTATTTGTTAGTTGATTCAAGGATCATTCTCTTTCTTATTCTATCCCATAACTTTTTCTATATTGAAATTTAAGCATTTATTTTTTGTTAAATTTTATTTGTTAAAAATATTTTTATATAAAATTTTAAAATAAGATACGATTTAAAATTATTGTAATATTAATTTGAATTTAATTTTTCAACTATTACATTTTGACACATCATAATAACAAAGATTAAAAATATTTTAATTTAATATTAATTGAAAATGTTAGCATTTCATGACTTTTTCAATTAAAATGATTATATCTTTTATTGATTTTTATAAAAATGATACAATTTACCTATATTTTTTATTCAAAAAATATTTTAATTTAATAATACCCTCATACCACACGGAAAACTCATTAATTATTATAAAAATTGCACATGAATTTTTTAGCCTTTGATTTGTCTATGCGTGCAACAGAGTATACCATAAAAGAAAAATTGAGCGTAAGCAAAATAGATTTTGATTCTGTTCAAATTACCTGCGTGCATGTTACATTATGACAGGCACAACTGGGTAAACAACCAACATCATAAGTCAACCCTTTCTCAATTTATAAATTGCATAATAAAACTAAAATGATTTTGTTTTAATTGATTATTTCCTTTAAAAAACAAATTGATTATTCAAACCATTACACAACTATTGAAAATGATGACGACGTGGATCGAGTAAATTAGTCAAAACAAAACAAAATAAAATAACTCAAATAAACACAATAGGTGAAGATTTTTCTCTATATAACATTGGGGTTAGGCAGTAGTTGTATGAGGGGTGATCGATGTTAAAGCACACTGCATAAACACACGTAGTAATAATATACAACACATATCCATGTCTCCTTGGCTTATAGGTGTTGCTACTGTTGTAGCAGCGATATTCATTTATCGGCTTCTGAAGCTCGTAACGGGGCCTTCATTACCACTGCCGCCAGGGCCCAGGCCATGGCCTATTGTGGGAAACTTGCCCCATATGGGCCCAGTGCCACATCACTCCCTCGCAGCCTTGGCTCGTACCCATGGGCCTCTAATGTACCTTCGCTTGGGTTTGGTTGACATGGTGGTGGCTGCTTCAGCCTCCGTGGCTGAGCAGTTTTTGAAGGTTCACGACGCCAATTTCTCGAGCCGGCCACCGAATTCCGGCGCCAAATACATGGCCTATAACTATCAGGACCTTGTATTTGCTCCTTACGGCCCACGGTGGCGCTTGCTCCGGAAAATAAGCTCCGTTCACTTGTTCTCCAGCAAGGCTTTGGATGAGTTTAGACACCTGCGACAGGTCAGCATCACTTTCATTCATATTCAATTTTGTGTCCTTGCTACTTTGGCCTCACTGATACTTTCTTCCAATGACTCATTTTTTTTGTCTTTTATATTATTAATTACGTAATAATTTATCACGAATATCATTAACATTTAAATAATTAGTTAAAAATATATTAAATAATAATTTTAAACTTTAATAAAATTTTAAAAATAAAAATTATAATTGTTAATAATAGATATTCTATTATATTAATAAAATTAAAAATAGTATATTGTTAGTTGGTATGTAAGGTTGATTAAATATATGATATTGTTAGTTTTTATAATATTAAAGCAGAAGCTTCCTAACGAATAAATAATTTCCTTTACTGATTCAACTAAGTGTTTGTATAGATGAGATTAGTGTAAAGTCAATCGAAAAACAGTGCAATTAAAAAATTGTTACGTATGTATCATCACCACCTTAGACAAAATAGTAATTAAAAAATGTAACTAAAGAAAAAGGATTGATGATCCAAGTAGAACACTTCGATAATATAAAACATGAAACTTGTAATTAAAGAAAATGTTTGTTACGCAAGTATGACATATTTTTAATAATGGCAAGAGATGCAGAATCAGTTAAAGTTAGCAAACAATTATTCAAGTGATCGTGATTTGTAATTTATCAATGAGTTTTGATTATAGATTCAATTTAGAAACGTATGCCTACGAATAAAATAAAATACTTTAATTAGGTTTTTACCTTTTAACGCATCATCATATTGTGTCTTTGCATGAGAAGTATCTTTTCCGTATTCTCTTTTTTATGAAGGAAATATTTGTTTGACTTTTTCTATCTATAGTCAACTAAAAAAGAGTTGTTAGCTGTTTCTTTCAATTTTTTTAAAATTCTTTATCGCTGTTAACGTGATCGGAACTCTTTGCACGCCAATTCAAAAACATTACACACATGATTATTTTTATATCTAAGGTTTATACTTACTTGTATCATTACATATAATTTACACAGCATCATCCCATACACATTTTGTATATAATATAGAAATTGTTTTTAGACTATACTATTAAATACACTCTGAACGTTATTGTTATAGATGTATGGTTAAAGTATAATTTGAATATTCTTATCTTATTGAGATGATATCATCATGTTAGAGAGAAAAAATCACATATTTTTTGTTAAATAAGAACCTTTTAAGATTAGTTCTAAAATCTATTAATTAAATTTGATTAAAAATGTATTTTTTCCCTTAGCGTGACCATGTCGAGAATTTAAATCCAATTATATATGGCAACCCAATTACTATTTTATTTATTTGGTCTTCTTAGAAAAAAAAAAAAAGATAAAAGAGATAGAGTTTGGTCCTTCTGTGATTCATGTTTGAATAAACTGACACAAATGATCACGTAATCCAGAGAAAAATCGCATCTTCCTCATAAGAAGCTAGGGTTTGAATTTTTCCACGGCCAGTAGTCAGGTTGTTGCATAATTGAATGGTTATATTTAATAAAAATATTTATGATTTAGGTTTATGCAATATTAATCTTTTAAATCGAGCTTTTGCTGGTATGTCGCTGGAACCCCTATTGGGTATTAGTGCTGAGAGTACCATTCGTTTTCTATAATCTTTTGTGAAAAAAAAAAAAACTGTATATGTTTGAATTATATATATATATATATATATATATATATATATATATATATATATATATATATATAAACTAAGCATTTGTTAAACATCGAGTATCGTGATTGACGAAACATATTAAAATATAAATGCAGAAAATTATAATTTCCTTCAAATTGTCATAAAACAATAATTTGTAACACTAATTTCTACAACTGTCATTATTTTACGCGATAAAATATGAAGTCGATAGGATGTGATTAATTTAATAATGGTATTGATAAAAGTAATTTTCTGGAAACAGTAAATATATTCAACAATTTAAAATAAATAAATTAAATGCAAATATTTATTATTTACTATCGTGTGACGTCTCTGTGACGAGTCGTTTAACCTCTTTGTTTTGAACAATGAAAAATATTATATGAGTGCAGTATGACGCTTTTATTGAGATAGGACGAGCTTTAAATTCTATCGGTCTATTCTCACGTCCCCAAGTTTCACCGTGACGCTTTGTTGCACTAAACCACATAAATTTCTACAAATTCATTCTTCTAAAACCCCCCAGAAAGTCCTTTTTTTCTCCATCTTTGTTTTCCTTTCGTTATCATCTGCACGACTATCCCGCATGATCTTCGTTCATCCTGGACCTGCAACCTCGAGTTCTGTTCAATTAATTGGATAGCTTTATGCTTCTTGATCATAATTTGAGATTGTTGAAAGAAAATTCAATCTTGATTAATGCAGAAACTGACCAAGAATATTTTATTCTATATATAATTAAAATAGAAAATTGTGTTTTTTCCTTTTTTATTCAAAATGAAAATATACCTAAATCGTCAATCGCTATCGGTACAGATAGTTGCAATTTTTATTTGACCTAAAAAAAATAACAACATGATGCTTGACATTTATTTAAAAATCCAGGCATCAAAATAAGTTAATTTTTTTTATGTTTTGTGTTCCCATATACAATTTCTTCGGAAGATGTGAACTGACAGACGGTAGTTTGAAAACTTGACACATAATTTTTTTAAGTATTGTTATTCAATCAAGATGGATATTTCATCTCAATAATTATAATTAAGTTTTTTAAGTAAAGGAGCTATCAAGTTTTTTTATGTGCACGTTTTATCTTACATTTGAGTCAAATTTTATGATTAAAAAACGATATTAATTAGTAGTTGGTTACACGGTCAAGCTAGACAAAATATTCAATTGATAATAAATTTCTAGTGGCTAGGTTTTTAAAAGTAGTTTTCTTTATGACCTTGTCAATTAATATATTTTTTTGGTACAACTTGTCAATTAATAAGATTTGGCTTGTTAGACTTATACATGTATTGAACACTATTAATGACTAGCTATAAAACATTATTTTAAAAAATAAGAGTTGACATTTTTTCTTAAAATAGAATAAATCTTTTAATTCTTAATTTTTAAAATGATTAAAAAATTGCATCAAATTAACGATTTATTTTTTTTTTTCACAATTTAACATATATGCAGGAAGAGGTAGCAAGATTGACAAATAACCTAGCAAATTCAGGCTCTAAAGCGGTGAGTCTGGGACAACTGTTGAATGTATGTACCACTAATTCATTGGCGAGAGTAATGATTGGACGACGAGTTTTCGACGATGGCAATGGTGGTTGTGATCCCAGAGCTGATGAGTTTAAGTCTATGGTAGTGGAACTTATGGTGTTGGCTGGAGTGTTCAACATTGGTGACTTAGTTCCTGCCTTGGAGTGGTTGGACTTGCAAGGAGTGCAAGCCAAGATGAAGAAACTACATAAGAAGTTTGATGCATTTTTAACCAGTATTGTTGAGGAACACAAGATTTCCAAAAGTGAAAAACATCAAGACATGTTGAGTACGTTGTTGTCACTTAAAGAGGCTAATGAAGATGGTGAAAAACTCACTGATACGGAGATCAAGGGATTACTTTTGGTATGTATTCACTAATCAATATCACAATCTATATTACAAATCACATGACCCACATGATGTTTGTACATCACACAAATTTAATTACTATAACATAATTATTAAATTAATTTGACAAGAGAAAAATAAGTTATGCAAATCAATGTGAAGCTATATTAATTCATACAAAACTCATTAGTTACTAACAAAAGATTTTTGCAGAACATGTTTGCAGCTGGGACAGACACATCATCAAGTACAACAGAATGGGCAATTGCTGAATTAATTAAGAACCCAAAAATTTTGGCAAATCTGCAGCAAGAGTTGGATAGTGTTGTGGGTCGGGATAGACTTGTGACTGAACAAGACTTGCCCCACCTTCCATACTTGGAGGCTGTGGTGAAGGAAACGTTTCGTCTTCACCCATCAACCCCTCTTTCCGTCCCAAGAATGGCATCAGAGAGTTGTGAGATATTTGGGTATCACATCCCAAAAGGTGCAACTCTTTTGGTCAACGTTTGGGCCATAGCCCGTGACCCTAAGGAATGGCCTGAACCATTGGAGTTTAAGCCTGAAAGGTTCCTCCCTGGTGGCGAGAAGGCTGATACTGATGTTAAAGGCACTGACTTTGAGGTTATACCTTTTGGTGCTGGACGTAGAATATGTGCTGGTATGAGCTTGGGCTTAAGGGTTGTTCAGCTACTCACTGCTTCCCTGGCCCATGCATTTGATTGGGAGTTGGAAAATGGGCTTAACCCAGAAAAACTCAACATGGATGAAGCATATGGACTCACCCTCCAACGAGCAGTGCCTCTTTCGGTCCATCCTCGACCAAGGCTCTCACCACATGTGTACTCGTTATCATCTTCATCTTCTTGATTTGGAGTTTGGCTTCTTGTCTTTTTGTGTTCTCCTTTCCCTCCTTTTATTAGTGTGGATCCTCTAAATAAATGATAAAATTATCTAATTTGTAGAGATCCAAAAAAGGGTTGGGTTGGTTAACGAGCTACACTGTCGTTGAGTTTGTATGTGAATATGCTTTTGTCTTGTACTTGCAATAAGTTGTAAAACAATTAACAAATATGATTTCATATGAATAACTTGCTGTAGGACGAGAGATTATTATAAGATGATGATGTTAGAAGATTCTCCATTATATATTAACCCAATTGATCATCCATATTAGATTAATAAGAAAGATAAATAACGGACTTTATTGTTAGATATTCATTATACCCGAATCCATTACGCTTTTGCTGCGGTTAAATGACAGCGGAAGCTTTAGTCTAGGTAATGGACTCCACTATGAGTAATTACCGTTCCTGTTGCAAGTTGATTCAAGAATGGTGGTATTATGGTCTTCTTCAACCAAATCGCCGTAATCCCAGGAACTTGAGAGCCAAACTCCTGATGGGAAGAAGTATATAGGCAATATTTTTTTTGATTTGGTTTATTGGGGACCAGTATCGTTAGAGGGGCTTATTTTTATATTCACCTATTAGGGTTCCCACTATACCGAAATAGGCCAAGCCCGGTATCCACTCATATGGACCCACATTACTTCCTACGGTAATCTAAATGGGCTCACCCGATGCAGATCACTTGCAATTAGCCCAATTAACATAAATAGCTTAATATAAATGTATTATTATATTTAATATGCAGCCCACACATTATTTGTTGGAATAAAATAATTCTACCAGATGAGAGATCAAACAAATAAATTAATGTCTTTATAAAGAGACGTAGATTATCATTTTTGTTTTCAGGAAATGTGTTTCATGCTTGAGAGTAAAGCAAGACAGTGAAGAGATGGCAAATGATTCGGATGACATTATCTAAAGCAATACTAAATAATAATTATATATTATAATAATTATGTGCGTCAAATATCATTAAAAATAAATAATTATAAAAATATAATTAAAATAGTTCTTATTTTTTTATATTTTAAAACTATATAACATATTTACTTTAATGTACAAATCTGGTATTAAATAATTTTAAATTAGTCTAAAATTTAATAGACGTAATTTGTATAATGATATATTTTAATCTAACAGCTGATTTTATAATAAAATTTTCTAATTAAAAGTTATTAAATAGTATAATTTTTAATATAATTTATACCAATTGAATTTGTTCACTCATACTTTTAAAAGTAAGTATTAATAAAATTATACAATACTTAATTATTTGTTTTGATTTTATTTTTTTACTGTAAAGATTTAATGCAAATTTAGGTTCGTTTCTTTATCTATCTATCTAACACAAATTAATATAACAAAATATTATCGTTTAGTATAGACAAAAAATGTTACTTATAATCGATTGTAATGTTATTATTATGATAACAAATTAATTAACATAGTGTCTAGATAAACTTCTAAAAACAAGTGGTGTATTAGGATGATAATGATTAAAGTACTTAAACGGGTATTTACAAAATTTATCTTTAATAAGTAGGGTATTTACACGTTAAACAAGTATAAGTAAATATTTACAAATTTTAATGGAGATGGGTGCAAGTATGTATACCTAAGAACCCACCTTATTCTATAACCGCATATACTAATATGTGTGTGTATATATATATATATATATATATATATATATATATATATATATATTATACTACTTATGTGAGAGAAACCTTAACTCAAAACCTTTGATAGGAGAGAATTAGGATTAATATTTAATATTTCATGTATTTGGCTATATTCTTTCTATAGTCATTGAAAATTATGTAATTATATGAGTTGCTCTACAACTTACCCTATTATGAATTGTGTTTTAGAAGTGTGACTTGTAAACAAAATTAACCTATAACTTTTCATAGAATTCAGAGATCAAGTATAACAATTTTCATACAAAGACAAGTTTTCAATGATTAAGTCTAAAACTCTATTATAATTATTATTGCTATTTTCAATTATCTTTGTTCTAATTTCATATAATTTTATTTGAATAATTTTTTTTATCTATAATAGAACAACTAAGAATTTAAGAAAGCAAGAATCTAACATATTTTTAATTTTTAGAAAGTTTTTGTGGATATTTTTGTAAAATTTTAATCAAAATAAAGATTTTATTATTTATTTTGTGTAATTTCATGTCTTTTATTTTTTTATTCGGTTTAAAGTTCTTTTATAGGTATAATTATTTTATTTTATTAAATAGACAAATTTTCTATGTTAAATGTTTTAGTAATATTATCTTTCAATTTATAACTCTTTGTTTTCAAAATTTTTTCTATACAAAATAAAAAAAAAATTGAATATATTTTATGTTACTCAAATAAAAGAATACATATTTAAAAATATAAAAGTCAATCTAAATAAATTTTTTATAAGATTAATATAAAATATATTTATCAATAAAATAAACCATAAAAATAATTTTTTATATTTTTAATAAAAAAATTTATTTACTATTTTGTATCGTTTAACTAAGTTAAATAATTTAATTATTACATGGTTAATATAAAATTTAGTTCTTATCATGTACTTGTATGTTTTAATTTATATTAATATTGGTAGATCAAAGTAATATATAAACCTAAAAAATAAACGTTTATTTGGAGAGTCTGATATGAAATGGTAAAATAGCCTAATTATATTTATTATTTTGACTTTATAATAAATAATTAACTAATATTTTTTTTTGGTAAGTTTTTGAGGTGATCGTACAGAAATATCAAGTTTATTAGTTGATTGTTTTAAACATCTTGAAGATTTTGTATAAAATTTTATTTATAATTTTTAACTATTTTAGTTTAGAAAATTGATGTATTAAAGATGTATTTAATACTCGTGATATTTAAATATTTATTTTTTGTCTATGATTAAATTTTGTTCAAAAGATATATATTAAATTTTTATATTATTATACTATTTATGTAAAATTATATAAATATATTTTTTTATAAATATTTTTTTTAGACAAGTGCAATATAAATATGAGAGTATTCAAAAAATACAAGTATAGAAATTAAAATTATTATTTACGTAAGTATAAGGCTAAATCCCAATATTTTTTAAAACGTAAGTATAAGAATAAATACCACTATACCCTACGAATAGCTTACTCATTACCATCCTTAGTTACTAGTTGCATCGTGTCAATTGTTGACTGATTTAGTTGTGATGAAATCCTTCGCTGCCATTAATATCATGAAAAATCCAAATCTTCTTTGACGAATAGTCAGCGATAATAATATTTTTGGAGGCTGTCTTTTCCAAAAGCGTTGGCGCTGACTGCTGGACAAATGAAGTTGAGGTCTCAGTGATTCTGCTTGCGTTAAATTTCTTCGATGACTTCAAACTCTCACGTACTTCTCATTGAGAATAATTCAACTTTGGCAGTCGGATGAACTCTTAATATCAGTTCATGACTTTGGAAACTTTATCATGAATTTAATGTTATTGATGTTTTTATGGACACAATTAAGAGAAAACTTTATTTGTAGATATACTGGCAAAAAGGAGTTTTGATAAAAAGTGTACTTAAGCTACCTCTTTAATGACGTACTTTGTGACTTAATTCTGGTAATAAAATGTCGTTCTGTTCTGGAAATATATATTAACAAGCATTTTAGGATTATAAATGACAACTATTTTGATAAAGGTCATATCAATTTTCCTTTGCATAATAGGATTTTCTGTAATGATGACTAACCCTTATTACGACAATCAAACGTCGCTCTGATGATAAATAAAATCCTTACATTTGAAATTGCAACATCTTAATTATTTAGTAAATAAGTCTTAACTATTTTAACAGATACATTGTGCGCACAAAATGCATTTTTATGTTAATTATTTTCAAATCTTTCTTCTTGTATACCGATGAGAAGGTTGTGCTGTTTTTGCATGAGACACGATAGGTTTATGTGTCAGCACAATGATAAGTTCAAAACATAACATCTTCTTCCGTTTTCAACCCATATATTTATTGCAAAAGAGACTTGGATGAGAGGTATATCGATTTTAATTACAGTGCTACCCAAGAGGATTAACGAATTAAAAGAATAAAGATTACAAATAATAACAAACTGACAGTAATGTATTTCTACCACCAAATAAAAGGAATAACATTTTCTTTAATATCCTCTTTTTAACCAACTAACTAAAAAAATAAGAGGAAAACATTACATTACCAGTAAAAAAAATTAAAATTTATACAATTTTTATAATTTTGAATAAATTTTAATCAATAATAATAATAAAAATAATGTTTAGAGAGTATGTTTTAAACATTTTTGGTAACAATAATATTCACGATACAACTTTTTATGCACAAATTTTAATATTTATTTTTATGATTGGTTTTTTTTTTTTAAATTAAAATTTTTTCAAATCAATGATGTTGACACATCCAGTGTATACTAAGGGTCCAAGCATGCAGAAATACTAGAATCATTATGATCATGTGTATATATATATATGTGCGCGCGCGCTCCTCTTGTGTGTAAAACACATTGATCCATGTCTCTCCAGCTAATTGGCTTTGCTACTATTGTAGCAGGTATCCTTATTTACAAGCTCTTTAAGAAGCCAACAAAAAGTGGGCCTTCATTACCTCTGCCACCGGGGCCACGGCCATGGCCCATTGTGGGAAACTTGCCCCACATGGGCCGTGCACCACATCGCGCCCTCACGGCCTTGGCTCGCACCTATGGGCCTCTCATGCACCTTCGCTTGGGTGTTGTTGACGTGGTGGTGGCGGCTTCCGCTTCCGTCGCGGAGCAGTTCTTGAAGGTTCACGACGACAACTTCTCGAGCCGGCCATTGAACTCGGCCGTTAAATACTTGACCTATAACAACCACGACCTTGCTTTTGCTACCTACGGTGCACGGTGGCGCTTGCTCCGGAAAATAAGCTCCGTTCATATGCTCTCTGCCACCGCCGTGGATGATTTTAGACATCTGCGAGAGGTCAGCATTATTCCATTCATATTGATTTTTGCGTCTTTGCCTAAAGATTTTCTTGTTCACCACATGTCATCAGCTAGTTACTCGCTGATACTTCCTTCCAGTGACTTTTTTTTGTTGATTTATATGATCATTAAGTAAATATTAAATGAGGATATTGCTAGTTAACAAAAAAAAAAAAAAACTCAAGCTTTCTATTTATATATATATATATATATTTTTTTTTTTTTTCGTTTTTGGAATTTAATTTTTAAAAATAATTTTATACCTTTCCAACTTAAATTTCTAAAGTCATTAAAAATTAATTTCAAACTTTAATTTTTAAAAGTTATTTTATATATGTTTTACTATTAAGTTTATAAAAGGACAAAAAAAAGTAGTGTAAATAAAAATAACCCTACTCGAGTGTATGAAGGTTTTTAAAATGGGAATAAAATATTAATGGATGAGTATAATGCATGTATGTGTAGGAAGAGGTGGCAAGATTGGCATGCAATCTAGCAAGCTCAGGCTCTAAAGCAATGAAGTTGGGACAACTACTGAATGTTTGCATCACTAACACGTTGTTGGAGATAACGACGGGGCGACGAATTTTCAACTATAGCAATGGTGATTATGATCCGAAGGCAGTTGAGTTTAAGTCTATGGTGCTTCATATTATGGTATTGCTTGGAGCTGTCAACATCGGTGACTTCATTCCTGCCTTGAATTGTCTAGACCTCCAAGGAGTGCAAGCCAAGGCCAAGAAATTACACGAAAGGCTTGATGTATTTTTAACTCGTATTATTCAGGAACACAAGATTCTCAAGAGCCAGAAACACCGTGACTTGTTGAGTACATTGCTATTACTTAAAGAGGCTCCTGAGGATGGAGATAAACTCACTGATATAGAGATCAAAGCATTACTTTCGGTATATTCGCAACTTATGATATATTGATGTAATGTTGCATTGATGCATGTTCAACTTACTAACAAACAGCTATTTTGTAGAACATATTTGTGGCTGGGGCAGACACATCAACGAGCACCGTAGAGTGGGCAATTGCTGAATTGATCAAGAACCCAAGAATTATGATTCGTCTCCAACAAGAGTTAGACAATGTTGTGGGACAAGATAGGCTTGTGAGTGAATTGGATTTGCCCCATCTTCCTTACTTGGAGGCTGTGGTGAAGGAAACATTTCGTCTTCACCCACCAACCCCTCTTTCCCTCCCACGAGTTGCGGCTGAGAGCTGTGAAATCTTTGGGTACCACATCCCAAAAGGTGCAACTCTTTTGGTCAATATTTGGGCTATAGGACGTGACCCCAATGAATGGCATGACCCATTAAAGTTCATGCCTGAAAGGTTCCTCTCCGGTGGGAAAAAGGCTAATGTTAATATTAATGGCAATGACTTTGAGGTTATACCCTTTGGTAGTGGGCGTAGAATATGTGCTGGTATGAACTTGGGCCAGAGGTTGGTTCAGTTGCTCGTTGGTACCTTGGCCCACGCATTTAATTACGAGATGGAGAATGGACTTAAGCCAGATACCCTTAACATGGATGAAACTTACAGGTTCACCCTCCAAAGAACAGAGCCTCTTTCGGTACACCCTCACCCTAGGCTTTCACCAAACGTGTTCTCATCATCTTCCTGATTTGGAGTTTAGCTCCTTGTTTGTCTTATCCCTTCCCTTCTTTTAATAATGTAAACCCACTTAATAAAAATAAAGTCACCACTGTAGTTTAAGAAGATTTGAAAGAGGGTTGGGTTAGTTAATTAGTTGTGATATCTTTAAGTTTATACATGAACATGCATGCTTTGATCGCATGCTTACAATAAGTTGTAAAGTGAATATGAATTGATATGAATAATATTTTTACTTAAGGTAGGTTAAGGATGCATACAAAACAAATGAACCCAGATGTAATGATTCAACGGATGTTTCATGTTTGGAAGGTAAGAACAAAATGTAACTTCCTATTTGTCATTTACGCTAGTGGTCATTTAATAGAAATCACAAATCCCCTCCTTTCAAAAGAGATAGTATTGTTGCAATTTAAAATATTAAATTTGATTATAATTAATAAAACAATGTAATTAAATAATAAATGTGTCAACAAAATAAATAATTAAGGTAATAAATATCAATCAGTTTAAAATAAGCATAAAAATTAAAAAAATAAAACAATCAAATAATAATGCTCATTAATTATAAATAAAATTAAAATTTTAAAATATTGTAATTTAAATCTTGTGAAATACCTTTATAAATTATCTTATTGAACTAAAATAGTGATATTGTTCTTCTATGAATCAAAAATTTCGATTTTTGGAAGATTATATATCAAAAGATTTCAAAATAAATACTAATACTCGTGTATAAAAAACTTGTTTCATATCATTGGTGGAAAAGAATAACAAAAAAAACTAAAATTTTGAGCTAAAAATTCAAAAATAATCTTTTGAACATGTTTTCAAAATATTCTTTGTAAACTTTAAAATAGATATTTTTTATAAACGACAAGTTCAATTGGACTAAAAATAGTTAGATCTAAAAATAAAAAGAAGTGAGAACATTTAATAATTTATATTGTTTCACTCTCAGGTTATGTCAAGTCTCTAACTTTGATCAAATCTTTACTATTCTACACAATAATGCAAACAAAAACTTAAAAATATTATTGTACATGATTTTCTAAGTTCAAATAATTAAAAATGTTTTTTTTTAAATTTCTATAAAGGGAAAAAAAAAATACTCATATACACTTCTCCAAGCTCTCTATATATTTAGAAATACCTAAGCTTTTTTACATTCGAGATAAAATAATAATAATTTTAATTTTTTTGATACTTTGAGATCTAAAAAGTATTGTTTTGATAAATTTTTATGCTAAAAATATTTTTTTGTTTTTCATCTTTTACTTTTTTGTTATTTTGATACAAGATATAAAAGAATAACATAATGTTTTTTCTCTTTCAAATAAAGATAACTTTACTTTTCTTTTATCGACGACTTATTTCTATATTTTATATAATTTATATATTATATAATTAAAAATATTACATTTTAAGGTTATAAGATTTTTTATTTGTTCTTTATGCACTTGTTAGTCTTAGAGGTGTACATAGATTAAATTTTAATAAAATTAATTCATATCTATTTTAAATTTAATTTATTATTTTAAACTCTATTTTATTTTTTTAAATCAGTTCAAAACTATTTTTAAAATTTAGATTTAATTTAAAAATGTTTTTAAATTTAATTTGGTCAAAACTAGTTTTAAATTTCTTCCATAAAAATTCAACAGCAGAAGCAAGAGAATTTTGATTGCATACCAATTTATTGGCAGGGGAATTTGAAATGGATAGCAGTTAAAGGGTATGAAATTAGGGTTGGACAAAAAAATCATTTTTATAAGTATAATTCATAACTAATGTTAAATTTGTTTTAAAAATCTAGATTTATGTTAAATTAATTTTTTAATTAACTATATTTGTATAATCAATTTAGTGTTTTAAATCTATTTTCTAAGATTAAATTTTTTATTTATTTATCAAATCTACATATGTGAAAGTTTTACTTTATGTATTTAATTATTAAATCTATGTACTCTATTAGTTCACAAAATTCTATTCTAACTACGTTTTATGACTAATTTTTTTATTAATCTTAATTCTTATAATTACAATAAAATATTTAAAATAATATTTTTAAAATATAATTATTATATTAAAAAATTAAAACATAATAAATATTTTTAAATTAATTACTACTATTGTTTTTATATTTATGTTTATTTTTTAATTTTTAAAATATTATAACATAATAATTTTATTATTATTTATATTATTAATTTTTATTTTTATAGATTTTAATTTAAACTTCTATCATCAATTCTATTTATTATAAATAAGTTAAAAATGATAATAAATATTTTATAAACTTCTATAAAATAATTAATAAATATTACTAAAATCTTCTTAAAACACACTAATTTAATGCATGCATACAACAAATTAGTTTTATCTTATAAACTAAATTAACAAATATATTTAAAATTAGTTTTTTCTTAAAAATTAAATTTAAAACTGGATTTAAAATTAATTTAATGTAAAACTATATTTAAAACTAGTTTCAACAAAAATCATATTTAAAATTTATTTTAAACTAAATTTAAATTTTAAAACTTCTTTTAAATTGATTAAAAAAAATACTTTAAAATTCAATCTGGATAATTAATTTGTGTAATGGATAGATGATAAAAAGTAAAATATATGTAAATATTTATTATTTTAATACAATAAAAAAAAATATTATTAATAGATTAAAATATATACAAATATAATTTTATATTAGTTATTATAAAATTAATTTTTTTAATATAATAATTTAATAGTAATATAAAAAATTATAATATATTTTTATTAAATTTAATATCAATTTTAAAAAAAATCTAAATTTTAAAGTTAAATTTAAATTAATTTTTTTAGAAATTCAATCTATGCACATTCTATGAGAGAAGTAACAAGTAAAAAGCTGAAAAAGAAAGGATAACAAACTCGGAAAAGTTATTTTAATATGATATTCAGTAAGATAAAATATAGAAATATGGCTTATTTAGTATATTTACAATAATATGGTTTTCTAAAAAATACAAATAACGATTTAACGTGAATAGTAAAATGGCAGCGGGTTAGAATGGTAAAGAAAGTGGTAGGTAATGTTCTGAAAACACCATTTGGATTTTTTAGCACTGTAGCACATGAAATTAGTTAAAATTGGTCAAAATTCACTAGAAAATCGCATATACAGTTTTTGATCACGTTGTCTGGCTGCTGCAGGTGATGTTGTGTAGTCTGGAGCTCTGAATTAAGGCAAACTCATGATTTGCGAGTTTTGACATCTTAACATGCACCCCATGCATGTAGGAAGTGACAAGAGTAGGTCTAAAACTTGTAAACTCGCAATTTGTGAGTTTTAAACACTATTCAAACATTCAAATAACTATTGCGAGGAAGACTCTAAAATTTCTATGAATTTTTTTGCTTATATATATCAGGTCCAATTTTTGTTGCATGCGCGAGAGGGTATTTTTGAAGTAAAGAAGAAGCATTCTGGAGAGGAAAAAGAAGTAAGGTGAGAGAAAGAGTATTTAAAAAAAAAATTCAAAAATTGGCAAGAAATTTTGATATTCATAAGTTAGAATTTAGAAAAAAAATTGGTTAGGGACTCAACTATTGATTCAAGGAAATATATTTCAGAACAAATTCAAAATCAAAATGCAAGTTTTTATTATTTTATTTTATTTATTTGATATATATATTTTGTAGAAATTCTGTAATTTTTTATTTTATTTATTATTATTTTTTATATTTTAAATGTATATTTTGTAATATTTGTAAAAACTATTATAAATTAGTAATTGAATATAACTGTATAGCAATTGTAATTTGTAAATAAATTATTTAGTAATTACTAACTTGCATGCAAAATTTATTATAAAAAAAATAAGAGAAAATTAATTTAAAATAAATTATAACAACATTGTTGAATTTTTTGATTGAAAATAATATTATTTTCTCTAATTAGTCGATAGAGTTTTATCAAAATTGTAACTAGAATAATTAATAAAATTAAGTTTCCAATAAATTATTTATTGTATTTTATATAATTAACATATCGAATAGTAATTATGTAAGTTTATTGTTAACCAATGTTTTTTGTATTATTTGTAACAGATAATGAGATTGTTACGGTCTTGTCACTTATTAATAATATCTCCTAAGATAGAAATTATGAAAATTTTATAGCATGCCGGTTTTGATCGGATTTATTAACTTTGTCAAATGTAAATAAACCGTTCACTCATTAATGCACTCGTGGAATAGTAGAGGCCTGAAACACATATTTCACTTAGTTCATGGAGAATGCACAATTACATTACAAGATGTTTATATGTTACTTGGAATTAAGATCAATGGTGTAGCAGTGATTAATTTAATAGGAGGCCGACCAGATTCAAACGACATTGAAGGATAAAAAATTAGATTATCGTGGTTATCACAACACCTTGGTTGGCTTCCTTGTAATTCGAACGTTAGGTTACAACAACATGCTCGTGAGTATATTCTTTGCTTGGTTGGACATGTTTTGATGCCAAACAAAAGTAATGCAGTGGTGCATTCAAAATTCTTGCCGTTGTTGACTGATGTGAATCAAATTGAGAATTACAGTTGGAGATCAACATGCTTGGCCTCTCTGTATAGAGGGTTAGATTGTGCTTCTAGATATGATGCCAAAGAAATATATGGGTGCTTGATACTACTACAGGTGTGGCCATGACATCGCCTCCCATGGCTAGCTCCAATCTCGGGTTCATCATCAATATTTCTGCTTGCTTTGAGATGGAGATGTATGCGCTATCCAACGAATACACCGTTTAAGAATCTTCAAAATATTAGATTAGCATTGGATCAAATGGGTGTTAATGAGGTAAACAATTTTACTAATTGTTATTAATATGTTACATGATGATATGAGTGTTAAACCTTTCTATAATGTGTGTTAACAAAAAATAATATTGTTTTTTGCAGTTTTTGTGGACACCATACTTCGATGATGAAATTGATGCAGTCACCCCAGATGAAGCACGG